TATATATATAATTGTATTACTACTAACCATATTTTTAATGGCAATATATCTTGTAAAGCCACTTCGCTCTATTGATTTCGGGACACAGATAAGTGATATCCAAGCTACAATGGCAAAATCGCGACCTCTGCCACCTTCGGTTTAAGAGATCCTCGCATCTGCCTTCGGATTACAATTCTGTATCCGCCCTCAGCCGCGCACCCCGGCTTTGCCCTCCTCCCCCAACGGAGAGGCGCGCTTTTACGAGAATGTATGCAGACAAGGGGCGCGTGAATAGCCTTCTGCGGGATTCTGTGGCGCATTCCGAGATTCGCCGCCCTTTTCACCGCTTTGAATACCCTCCCGAGGTCTGGCTTTGCTTTTGTTGACAGACGCACTTTGTGTTTTGTTTCCTGCGCGGGGCGTGGGAAACCTCGAAACTGGATTATCCGAACTCCATGCAAACGCGAGGCATAGTTCGACGAATGCGGCGGGCGCTGCAAATTGAGATGATATTGTTTCAAAGACCGGGAAACCGAAGGTCTGGACGTCCGCGAGTGGCCAGGATTCTGAGACAATAGACACTTGTAATGGAGAGAGGGAGAGGAAGTGGTGATATTTGTGGATTGCGGAGTAAAATAATCTTGATTATCTATCTGTTATCGAAACAATGCATTAACTCACCACCAAAACAGAATGTTTACGCTACTATATTCAATTAGCAAAAAATAATAATAAAAAACATCTAAAGCAAACTTAAAATTATCCGGCATCATTACACAAAATGAAATCCGATAACACACACAGAGTCAATTCGCAAAGAAATGTATAATAGCAGAAAGTAAATAATAGTGTCCCTACAAATCACTAGCATCCCTATTTTGTCCAATTTTCTCTTATATTTTCATCCCTTCTACATCCTATTCATTTTTTGACATTTTGAATTCGACATTCTGACACCATGAAATCGAATCAATGCTACTCTATTGCCAATTCTATACATCCGATGACAAGCGAGCCATAATAAATTGTTGATTAACGCCAGTCGGTTTATGAAATCAAATCACTACATGTATCATACTAATGATATTATTTGACTTCGTTAACTTGATTTGTAAGCTTAAATTTAAAGTTCATCGTTCGGATTCCCTCTCCGGACATGTGTATCTACACGCTGAAACAATGGTTCTTTAGAATTAAAGGTATAGTATTATTACATGCGAGACGACACTTACAGGATAATAGTACTTCCACTTAAACATTTCTCGCTGTCATGGCTTTACAGTGCAAAACTGAAAACTGCGAGTACATTTCCGCGGGTGTTATTTCAGCTTCGATTGAATTCGTTATTTATACTTTTTTGTACTTAAGAAAAAAGAGTCGCTAGTTATTTCCTTTTCGGTAATCAGAACTGTTAAAGACACCAGCTGTGAACAAACTCTTAAAAATATACCTCATATACAAATAATGAAACACTCTAGGAATAACAAAATCACATTCTAAACCACAGCATTTTGTTGCAGAGAAAATATTTTATACTTTGCAACAGCAAGCAGCGTACTCTGCTGCAAATATTAGAAACTTAGTCGAACTTCAAATATTAGAAAAGAAGTCGCCTATGCAATCTTACGTGACGGTAAATCCCACATCAATTACGTGTCGCGCGTGGATGAATGGAAATTGTGCAACGCGAGTGCAAAGCACGCTAAAATACCTTTCGACAGGTGGCAGCACACCTCGTAACGCATCACACATCCCCTACACTCGAGCAGCGTACGCCTTTGTGGTGCACGCGCGTACGCCACCGGTCGCGTACCTGGGGACGCGAGTGCAGTCTGTCGCTGTGCGCTTAATGCGCCGATGGGCTCGCAGGCTTTAATCCGCGTTTCACACTAAACGTCCCACATTTGATAATTTCTGGGAGTATTTATGGATATGCAAGTACTGTATTCAATATTCCAGAGCGACGCTTTCAATGAAATGATTAAAAACGACCGCACCAATG